AACCCAAAATTTATTTTAGATTATTTCTGGAGATTCCATGCACCATGGATAGCTCTGTGCAAACTGAATTAATTTACGTACTAGACCTCTGGCCCCTTGCTAGACTGCAAAATGTTGTGATGAAATTACTGCCACCCAACTGGTGTGGCACTGTAGGCTAATGAGCTGGACTGCATAGCTGATTTGCACTGCAAGGTTGGCAGTTCAAGCTCACCTACCACTCCTTGGAAACACTACCCAGGGTCGCTATGAGTCAGGACTGACTTAACAGCACTTAACAACAACAACTGGTGGGCTTAAAATACTGATGAAAATCAGAGATCACAGCCTTCAGTATGGGTTGCATCTCAAAGCATAGAAAACAAAAACCCTTACCACTGGAGCAATAAATAATATCATGATAAATGGAGAAAAGATTGAAGTTGTCAAAGACTTCATTTTGCTTGGATCTGCCATCAATACTCATTCATAGAAACACCAGTCAAGTCAAGGAATCAAATGATGTATTTATTGCATTAGGCAAATCTGCTGCACGAGACTTATTTAAAATGTCCAAGAGCAAAGATGTCAGTTTGAGAACTAGAGTGAGCCTGACACTAGCCATAGAATTTTCAATAGCCTCATATGCATGTGAAAGTTGGACAATGAATAAGGAAGACTGGAGAACAATTGATACATTTGAATTATGGTCTTGGAGAAGAATATTACAGGTACCATAGACTGCGAGAAGAACAAACAGAATGCTCCTTAGAAGCCAAGATGGTCAGATTTCATCTCTCATATTTCAGACATAGTACCAGGGAGAACCATGGAGAAGGACGTCGTTCTTGGCAAAGTGAAGGCAAAGCAAAAAAGAGGAAAGCTCCCAATGAGATGGATTTAGCACAGTGGCAGCAACAATGGTTTCAAGCATAGCAGCAATTTGTGAGGATGGTGCAGGACTGGGTGGTGTTTTGTTCTGCTGTACATAGGTCATTATGGGTCGGAACTGACTCAACAGCACCTAACAACAACAAAAACAACTGGTGGCCTGGTGAGTTATGCATTGAGCTGCTAAGCACAAGGTCAGCAGTTGGAATCCATCAGCCACTCGGTGGGAGAAAGATAAGGCTTTCTGCTTCTGTAAAGATTTACAGCCTAGGAAACCCTATACTGGTGCTATGAGTCAGAACCAACCAGATAGCACACAACAACTGCAAAAGCAACAGATGATGGCCCAGCTACCTCGCTCGTCTCACAGACTGCCTATAACATTAAGCGAGGCCAACAGAAGTATCAAGAGCAAATGATTGCAAGCCCCTCTAATAAGCAGCCAAAGAAAATGCTGTCTTCTCTTGCTGGGACTCCCCAGATCCAAATAGAGAAATCATGTGACTGAGGCCCTTACAAAGGAGGTTCTGCCACAAGTATCAGGTTTGGAAATGCTATCTCCTAAAGGCAGAGACTACCACTTGTCTGTCAGTTTGTCATACTGTGGTGACTTGTATGTTGTTATGATTCTAGAAGATCTGCTACTGGTCTTTTAAATACCCGCAGGGTCACCCTCGATGGATAGGTTTCAGCTGAGCTTTCAGACAGACTAGGAAGAAGTAGAAATGGACTACTTCCAAATTTAGTCACTGAAAACCTCATGAATAGCAGTGGAACACTATAAGCACCAGAATATTAGATACTGAAATATGATGGACACTAGAATATTGTTAGATATAGTGCCAGAAGATTAGCCCCCTCAGGCTGGAAGGCACTCAAAATAAGACTGGGAAAGAGTTACCTCCTCAATGTAGAGTTGACTGTGATGACGCAAATGGAGGAAAGCCTTTACAACTAATGTAAAGTAAACAAAAATTCTCACAACTGGCCCAGGAAACAATGATAATGGAGAAAATGAAAAATGAAGAAAAAATTAATGTAGTCAAGGCTTTCACTTGACAATCAATCAATGCTCATGGAAACAGTAGTTAAAAAATCAAAAGACATTGCATTGAGCAAATCTGCTGTAAAAGACCTCTCTAGAGTGTTAAAGAGCAAAGATGTCACTTCGAAGACTAAGCTGTGATGACCCAACCCATGGTATTTTCAATCGCCTCATACGCATGCAAAAATCGGACAATGAATAAGCCAGATTGAAGAAGAACTGAGGCATTTGAATTATGGTGTTGGCAAAGAATATTGAATATACTATGGATGGCCAGAAGAATGAACAAATCTGTTTTAGAAATACCATCAGAATATTCCTTAGAATTGACATACTTTGGACGTGTAATCAGGAGGGGCCAGTCCCTGGAGAAGAAGATCATACTTGGTGAAGTGGATGGTCATTGAAAAAGAGGAAGGCCAATAAGATGGATTGACACAGTGATTGCAGTAAAGGGCTCAAACATAAAAAATATTTGTGAGGATTGGATCAGGCAGTGTTTCATTTTGTTATACATATGACCCCTATAAATCAGAACTGACTTGATGGTATTTAGCAGCAACATCATGTGGCAATATTAATCAATTTTCTTAAAGGACATAGGACAATAATGAGGACTTATTAGACAGAAGTTTTAAGAAAATAAAAAATTGTACTAGAAAGGAAAATGCCAGTAAAATTATGCCAAGGAATTTCTTTCCATCACAACAGTGTGCCTGCTCCATCTTGAGGGTAAGCAAAGGCTGCCCTATCAGAATTTTCTTGGGAAGCCTTACCTCACTCACCCTAGAGCCCTGATCTTGTCCCTTCAGATTTTTTTGTTGTTGTTCCCCAAATTAACATTTAAAAGGAACACAATTTGAGTCACTCAAGGATGCCAAAAGTGCCCTTTTGACTGTGGTATCAGTTGAAGAGTGCAGAATCCTTTGGGGAAGGGCTACAGAGATGGAAACACTGCCTTCAGAAGTGTATAGACCCAGATGGAGACCATAACAAGATGTTGTGAGATAAGAGCTTCACATTTAAAATTTTTTATTAAAGGTTTTAATGATTTTTTAGCAATACTTTTATACCTAATCTCATATATACATGTATATATAACCCCCTTCTCTTGTTCCAAAAGAGGTTTAAAGTAGCTTACAAAAATTCATGCACTTCACCCAGACCAAATAAATTAAAAATAAATAAGAAAAAAGGGCAAAGGTAACACAGAAACAGGAAATTTAAATATTCCCGGGGGTGATGTAAATTTATAAGTATATTCTAGAGAGACCTATAAACTTCCAGATGCCACATTTAGCTACATCATGTAGCAGCCTACATGATAGGAAATGTGATGTATTACAAAGCTTATTTCATACTCTTTAATATTTGTCAAGATTTCTTAGCATGTATTTTATTTTAGGTAAAAAGCATGCAACGTTACAGTTATTCAGGAAAAATGTCTTTTTTTGTTGTTGTTCAGGAAAAACTTATATTACTACTAGGAAGACTTTTCTTCTACGTCTTCTCATCTAGGGGATTGTATGTAAGGAAATAAACAGCATCCTGGTATGGCATTGTAGGGTAAGCACAGGACTGTTAATCACAAGGTCCATGGTTCAAATGCCCCAGTCACTCAGCTCCTCATAAACCCTATATGCTGTGAGTCAGAATGGCACTTAACAATAGCAACACAGCAAGCTTTCACAAAATAGAGCCATGAGCAATTACCAACCATTCACACCACTGAAGGACTCCCAGGGCAAGTAGAGTATTCCACCTCCCTATCTCTTATTCTTCATTTACTTTTCTTAGTAATTCACAAGCAACAACTGAAATATTTTTCTCAGATAGTATTTTTAAAAAATGTTTTATTGTGAATTATGTGATAGTTTACATGGGAGAACATTAGTTGTACTTTCATTCTATCATATATTGTCTCATTGCCATGGTTACAATACCCTCCATGAATCATCAACCAACTACAGGGTATACCTGCAAGCCTACCCCCCACACCTCCTTGGTCTTCAGCACACAGTCCCTCTCCCTCTCTGGATCTCAAGTCTCCAGCTGCTCCATCACTCCACATCATAATCTCTGCCTCCATTTCAGGCATCACCGCTTCTCTAGGTAGGGTCCCGCTCTCGGCTCTTCTCCACAGAGGGTCCCAGGGACCTCCATTCCTAGATAGGAAAGTTAATCACTCCCCTCCTTGCTATAAAACATCTACATTTACATTTCCAACCCTCACAATCAGTCCTGATAACAATCATTCACTATTGTATCCCAAGGGACCCATCTGCATTTCATTTCATCAGCCCCGCCTAGACAGAATAGATACTACTCAGTGGAGATTCTACCTTCCTCCAGGCCCTCTGGATCTAGGTTCCCTCTTGAAAGTTTGTAAGCCAGCTCAGATAGTATTTTATAAATTGAGAAGAGAATAAAACAGAAGACTAGATTGCAATTAGTTTTACTAATAGTGTCTGTGTAAATGTGGGTACATTGCTATTTATTTGCAAATTACAGAACAGAAGCAGACTGTAGGAACTGCTTATGGAAAAAACATGGGCAACTTTGCTCTGGGTTTTAAAGAATAAATGCTGAAGAAAAATACAGAGTAATTTAAATTTGATGTGAGTAATAACATTAGCTATAGGGTAGTAAAGATTACTTAAGACTAAATAGTTGCTCCTGTGTAAATATAAATATGTACCCTTCTAAAAAATTGCTCCCAGTATAAATATAAATAGGTATGCTATCTTTTAAAAAACTCATATTAAAGTAACATGAAAATTTAACTTTATTATCAAATTTAATAAAACTCCCAGATTTTCTATTTATAAGGTTAAGAATTTGAGTTGGGAAGTCAATGCCCAGAAAATTGTATAAAAATATTCTTATTTCACACACTCTGCTTTTAACATTGTCCTCATATTTTGAGGAATTACAATATGTCAAACAAGATATTTTTCATTCCCACAAGAGGGACCCTTTGCACCATAGCAACAGAGTTTATACATTACAAGCCTTAATATTAGGTCAGCCTGCCAGACAATTGTTGAAAGTCAAATCATTCCCTTCTCCTTCTCCTTATTGGAGAATCCAGGCGGACAGATGCAACCATAGCCTGTGGCCTCATGATAGCTGAATGCAGAGGGCAGCCCGGCAATTCATCCGTATTGTTTCTGTGAAGACAGCTCCACACGTTCCACGTCAGACTGGCAGGATTACTATGGCACTCCTTGATGTCCATCTCACACTGGGCACCCGTGTACTCTGCAGAAGGAAAGATCAGAGATGCCACTGAGTCAAAGCTCCTAAACTGTAGAGCATATGCCTAAAAGTGGGTCTGTTACTGTTCAGTAGCCAATTAATACAATGATATGCCCACCCAGGGAGCTAGAAAGGGATATCTGGAAGGGGAAAATTCTTATAGAAAGAAATAGTTGCAGCAATAGAATCACTTGAATCAATCAAATTGACCAATGCTTTTAAAAACATTTGATTTAATAAGATTTGAATTAAGAGACTTTAACGTTGATTTAATCTGAATATTCTATTAAGACTACAATTTCACAAATATCCCAATTGTTTGGACTTTATCAAGTGGGTGAAAATCTTTTTCAAAAGAATATCTGAACAGTCAGTGGTATCAACATTGTTGTAGTTAAGCGCTGTCAAGGAGGCTCTGATTCATAGCAACCCTGCACAGGATTTCTGAAGCTTTAAATCTTTGTAGGAACAGAAAGCCTCATCTTTCTCCTGCCGAGCAACTGGTGAACTCCAACCATACCAGCATGTTGTTAAGTGCCATTGAGTCAGTTCTGACTTGTAGAGACCCTGCATATGGTTTCTGGGGAGCAGTTGTTGAGTTTGAAGCACCAACATTGCAGGTTTGAACCAACCTTGCCATCCAGTGCTTTATCCTACAATGCCACACCAGCATAGCCAACACGAAATTATTTTCTTTATCCTCAAAGTAAAGGAAAATGGTTACGCCTGAGATAGTAGAGCAAATTCTTTTGTCTAAGTATGGATTTAGCTGGGTTACTTTTATTAGGTCAAGGAATAAAAGTGATAAAATGTGGATGATTTATTACTTCCAAAACACTAAAATATGGAAAAGTTCCCTTCTTGAACTGTTTCTTTACTTTTACATACATGTAAGTATACCTATACAAATATATAGTTATTTATGTGTGTGTGTTTATTATATAATGGGTTATGGTGTTGGAGAAGAATACTAAAAGTACCATGGGCTGCCCAAAGAACAAACAGATCTGTGTTGGAAGAAGGTGCAGCCAGAGTGCTCCTTGGAGGCCAGGATGGCCAAACTTCGTCTCTCATACTTCGGACATATTTTCAGGAGGAGCCAGTTTCTAAGGATATCATGTTTGGTAAGGTAGAGAATCAGAGAAAAAGAGGAAGACCCCTACCGAGATGGATTGGCAAAGTTGCAGCATCAATGGGCTCAAGCGTGGCAACAATTATGAGGTTGACCCAGGACCAGGCAGTGTTTCATTCTGTTGTGCATAGGGTTGCTATGAGTCAATGCCAATTCAATGGCACCTAAAACAACTACAACATACTATATAGTCATATATCCTTCAGTTACTTGCTTTTATGATATCTATCCATGTTAGTAATATAGAGCTAACAACTTTTCACAACTGCCAAATATCCCATAATATGGATATACTATAATTTAACCATTCCTTTATTGGTTTTATATATATTTTTGCCATAACAAACAATGCTGCAATAAATATCCTTACATACATATGCTTCCTTATGTAATGTTGAAGTAGAATCCTAGTGTCTATACCTAGAAAGGGGGTATCTTGTTTAGAGGTAATAGCATTTTAAATTTTGATAGATACAGACACACTCCTCTGAGGTATATACAATGCAAATACCTAATGGCAGTGGATAAGTGTTCATGGGCTTTAAACCCCTGCCAGTATTTGCTGTCACCAAATTAAAAATTTTTTGCCAGTTGGTTGAATGGCAAATAATAGCTCATTGTTCTTTTGGTTTATATTTTCCCTGGTGACAATTGCATTTGAAATTTCTTGAATTTTGGAGAACATTTATGTGAATTTGTAATTCATATATTTTGCTTTTCCTGTTAGACTTTTTTCATTGATTAATACCAGTTATCTACATACTATGGGATAATGCTACAATCCCAAAATGTAAATTTCATAGGACAATGATGACTGGGACCAACAGATATGACCTGTTTTGTAAGATGGTGAGAGAGATGTTTGCAATTGTATTAAGTGCCATTGATTCGGTTCTGACTCATAGCAACCCTGTACAGGGTTTCTGAGGAGCAGTTGGTTGGTTTGAACTGCCAAACTTGTGATTCACAGTCCAGTGCTTATGCTACAGAACCACAACGGGAGTCCTGGAAATTGTTAAAGGACCACGGATTCTACTTGCAATACAAGAGACATACAGCGTGACACTGTTACGTAAGCACTGGACTGCTAACCACAAAATTGGTAATTCAAACTCACTAGCCACTCCTTGGAAGCCTTCCACAGAGTCACTGTGAATTGGAACTGACTCGATGGCACTTAACAGCAACATCATCAACAGTTAACTAAGGGTCTTGTAATGTCACCAACTGAGCTAAAAAATATACTTTAAAAATAATTGATAGTATAAAAATATGAAGCTTGTAAATAAGATTATGGTATTTTGTTATTTTTAAACAACTCAATAACTTCCCCTTTCACATAGGAAAATTGTGCTTGAAGGTGAGCTCATTTTCAGATCTGAAGGGTGGTCGAGGGTCATAGTCATGGGTTCTTCCAGTCTCTGACCAATAAGGCTGGTCTTCTTTTTCTTTTTTCTTTTTCAATTTTGAGTTTTGTTCCACGTTTTCTCTCACTCCAATGTGATCCCTTTCAGAGCAATGTGTAGTAGTAGCTGGGCACCATCTACTTCTTTCAGTCTCAGAATCATGGAGACTGATATTTATATGTTCCATTAGTACACTGGACTAATTGATTCAAAGCATCTTCAATTCTCGTCAATTTTCTTTCCTCTGTACATAGAGAGACTTACAGTTGCAATTTAGAATGCTGCTCATAAGCGCTTAAGATTCCAGATGCTACTCACCAAAGTAGGCTGTGAAACACTGTCTTTTTAGACTATATATGTCAATTGATCATAGTGTCCCCTGAGACTATGTGCCTGAGCCCCAGACCCAGCAACTCATTGTCTTATGAAGTTTGATAATATCTAAGAAGTTTTCATCATTTTTCCTGATGCATGGTCCATCATATTCATAGTTGTCTTTGCAGCAAAGGTAAATACCTATATACAAATATCCTCTTTCAAACCTTTACATATTTCTGGGTAGACTCCCATTTTTCCTTCCATACCCTTTCAGCCTGTATACCTATTCATGTATCTACTCGCAGAACACTGTTGTTTCAAGGTTGTATATATAGCACCATTTACCTCTCTCCCCTTTAGCCCTTATATACTACTCTGTGTCTTCACCTGTCTTCATAATTCTTCTGTCAGCCTCCTTATTCTTGTTTATTGCCCAGCCAGACACCTGGGTTAACATGTGTCTCCTCTCTAATATGTATGTGAAAGTTGGACAGTGAATAAGTAAGACTGTAGAAGAATACATGCATTTGAGTTTTGGTGTTGGAGAAGAATATTAAAAGTATCATGGAGTGCCAGAATAACAAATAAATCTATGCTGGAAGTAAATCACAGAGTCACTGTGACAAAAAGAAATAGTCAATTTTCAACTATTTCAAGAGGTAACATATAATCAAGAGCCTATGCTACTGAAAGAAGAAGTCTAATGTGCATTGAAGACATCAGCAAACAACAAGGCTCTGAAAATTGATAGAATACAAATTGAAATCTTTCAACAAACTAATGCAGCACTGGAGGCACCCACTCATCTATGCCAAGAAATTTGGAAGACAGCTACCTGGTCAAATGATTGGAAGAGAGCCATTTCTGTGCCCATTCCTAATAGATGTGGCCCAGTGGAATGCAGAAATCATTGGACAATATCACTGATATAGCATGCAACTAAAATTTTGCTAAAGGTAATTTAAAGTGGCTGCAACAGTACATTGGCAGGGAACTGCTAGAAGTTCAAGCTTGATTCAATTGTGGAACACAGGATATGAGTGCTGATAAAAGATGGATATTGGCTGGAAGCAGAGAATACCAGGAAGATGTTTACCGATGCTTTATGGATGTGCAAAGGCTTTCAGTTGTGTGGATCATGACAAGCTATGGACAACACTGTGAAGAATGAGTATTCCAGAATATTTCATTGTTCTCATGTGGAACCTGTATACAGACCAAGACACAGTCGTTCAAAAAGAACAATGGGTTACTGAATGGTTTAAAATTGGGAAAGGTGTGCATCAGGAATGCATTCTTTCACCACACTTATTTAATCTGTATGATGAGCAAGTAATCTGATAAACTGGATTATATGAAGAAGAATGTGGCATCAGGATTGGAGGAAGACTCATTAACAACCTGTGATATGCAGATGATGCAACCTTGCTTGCTGAAAGAAATGAAGACTTCAAATACTGATGAGGATAAAAAACCACAACCTTCAAAGTGGGTTGCACCTCATTGTAAAGAAAACAAAAATACTCACCACTGTACCAATAAGTAACATCAAGATAGATAAATATTGAAGTATTCAAAGATTTCATTTTGCTTGGATCAACCATCAACACGCACAGAAACAACAGTCAGAAAATCAAACAACGTATTGCATTAGGCAAATTCACTGCAGAAAGACCTTTTTAAAATGTTCAAGAGCAAAGATAGCAGATTGAGGACTAAGGTGCACCTGATCTACACCATGGTATTTTTCACTGTGAAAGTTGAGCGATGAAGGAAGACCTTAGAAGAATTGATGCATTTGAGTTATGATGTTGGAGGAGAATATTAAAAGTTCCATGCACTCCCAGAAAGACAAACAAATCTGTGTTGGAAGACATATAGCCAGATGTCCTTAGAAACCAAGATGTCCAGATTCATCTCTTGTACTTCAGACATATTACCAGGAGGGACCAGTCCCTGGAGTAGGACATCTTGCTTGGTAAAGTGGAGGGTCATCAAAAAAAGGAAGACTCCAAGCAAGATGGATTGACCAATGTCAGCAATAATGGGCTCACGCATAGCAACTATTGTGAGATTGGCGCAGGACCAGGTGGTGTTTCATTCTATTGTACATAAAGTTATTATGAGTTGGTATGGACTCAATAACA